TAATTGGATCTTCAACTACCCTGCAGAAATGTATGCAGTGTGGTTTCCTATACGTAATCCTCCTGAGCTCTCTGCCTGCTGGAAAAATGATGGGGTTCCCGGAGGCAGGTGCCTCACGGGGCTGTAGTTCTTATTATGCCCAAAACAAACATGAGCCGGTATCATTCTCACTCATGTGGGGTTTTCTTAGGATACAAAAGGGTAATCATGTCTAAGCCATCCCTTGAGGCTTTGCAGGGAAAAGACACTAATCCTACATTGATATTTTTCTCATTCTCTTTTCCTTACAGAGAAGTTTTCTAAGATAATGTCTGGAATTGTAGATTTTGTGTGTGTAAACTCTTACTTTTACTTTCTTGCTGTATTAGAATCAGTCTAGTTGACTGTTTCCTCAAGGTTTATAGAAGGTGTCATTCATGGAATTTCCACAGGCCTGACTATTAAGGTCAGGGATTTTCTGGGACTATGAACCAATGTCACATATTTTTCTTTTTGTGTGATTGCCTATTTTCAAGGCCTAGTTATGCTTGTGAATAAATCAGTACAACAGATAACTGTGATGTTAGTGCAAACTCATGATGGATTTAAATGTTATCATATGGACTGTCACTTGGCTTTTTGTTACCACTTTTTCTGCTTGCTGCCAGAATACTGTTACACATGCAGGATTGTCTCAGCACTGATGATCATGCTGAACCTACTTTGATTCTAGCACCTACAGTTGTTTGGATGCACAGTTTTATGATGATGAAACTGTAACGGTGGTTCTTAAAGACACCGTAGGACGTGAAGGAAGGGACAGACTCTTGGTCCAGTTGCCACTGTCTTCTGTCTATAACAGTGAAGACTCTGCAGACTATCAGTTCACTGGGACTTACTCTACAAGGTATGGGTGCAATAAAACTGTCTGATCTAACAGTGAAACACTTAACGTGCATCACAGATTCCAGTTCTTCAGGTACGCTAGATAATGGTTATCTAGTTACTAGGTGTCTTAGTTTTCTAGTGGTGTTAATAACAAAAATGCCACAAGTGGGTGGCTTTCACAAACACATGTATTTTCTCAGTTTTAGTTTTGGAGACTAGAAGGTTGAATGCGGGGGCCAGCTCTCGGGGAAGGCTTTCTCTGTCGGCTTTGGAGGAAAGTCATAGACGCTGATCTTCTGCTCCTGGGCAGTCTGTGTTGGCTTGGCATCTGTCTTCCCCATCTCTCTTCTTTCGCTCCCATGTTTAATCTCTTTTATATCTCAAAAGAGATTGACTCAGGATACACTCAACACTAACCCTGCCTCATTAACGTAACAAACAACCCATTCACAAATGGGATTGAAACCATAGGTAAAGGTTAGGATTTACAACATATTTTGGGGGAGGCAGTTAAATCCATAAAACTAGGGTTAGCCGTAAAGCCAGTGAGCAGAACTAATGCTACTTTTTACTCAGCAAATACTGGCTTCAGCGGCTCTTCTGTCTGTTTGCTTTACTAGTAAATCAGAAGTATTTGCTGATACGAGATGAGGATGTATTTGGGGTGGGGAATGAGACTGCTTTTAGTTCCTTTTCAGAGGTACCATTCAGCCGAATTTGTAAAAATAT